GCCGCGCTATCGGAGCCGGCAGAGCGTCCACCCTGCAGACCAGGGGGCTTAGTGCAGCCTCGAGGCAGTCCCCGGGAGGACGTGGCCAGGCTGGATGGACTTTCCTGAGCCCGAGCCCCATCCCTGGAATTCTGCAGCTGGGATCTGACGCTGAGACCTTGCAGCAACAGAGACAGCAAGGCTGCTGCCAGGAGGACCGGGGGACTCAGACGTGCTCCATGGTGAGTGTGAGGTGCCCGCAGCGGGTTGGTGCGTGGACCGGACTTCTGCAGGGAAGAGGGTGGCGCTCCCTCACACCTCCTGGAGCTCCCAGGAGGGGAAGGGAGCCTGGGTGGAGGCTGAGAGGGACTGTGGTGTCTTGCTGTGTGATCTAGGGGAGTTCTTTTCCTTCTCTGGGCCTCCCTTCACCCGTCTCTGAATGGAGTGGTTGGACCAGGTGATCTTTAGGAGGCCCTGACCCTGACTTTATTCCTTGGGCATCTGCTACGTGCAAGGCCCTGTGCTGGGCATCCCCACAGCTGCTGTTCCCCAGGTGTTATTGTCCTCCTCACTGTACCGGAGGAAACAGGCCCAGAAAAGTAAAGCAACTTGCCTAAGGTCACACAGCCCCTCAGAGATGAGACATAGAGGGAGGTCATTCCGACGTGGCTTTGGCTGAACCTCCTCCGCCCCCAGAACAGCCTCTGTGTTCTCTGGTTCTGCAATTACCCGGGGGTGGGAGGCCGGAGGCAGAATGGAATACGCATTACCTGCCGGAGGTGGGGCCGGGAGCCGCAGGCTGAAGCCTGGCCAGCGGCCTTCAGCGTCTGGAAGGTGGCTCAGGCCAGGTGTAGGACGCTGCCCCGGGACGGAGGGTCGGCTGAGCGTCCTGTGCAGTTTCTGCCGCGTCCTGGGCTGCGAGGGAAGAGGGTTAACGGCAGGGCAGAGCGAGCCGGGGTGGGGAGAGGGACCAGCCTCCACTGGGTTCCGTTCCAACTTCATTTTGCCTTTGCAAAAATGTGTTTCGAATCACTGTGGGCCTGCGCAGCGACCCTGGACGGAACACAGTTGTGAAATACACGCACTTTCCCCGCGCCTCCCCCGCGACCGCTCGCGCACACTCTCGCGGGCTGTTGGCGCCCACAGCTCTGCAGTGGGGCCGAGCGGCCAGGAGGTAAGATGCAGACACAGTCAGAAGCCGGGTGCGGTGGACACCCCAGGGCCAGGAAGCGCACAGCCCAGCGAGCGGCAGCCGGCGGGAAGCCCCTGGGGTGCCAGGCACCAGGCCAGAAGGAAGGTCCCGACACCCACATGTGGCCTCCTTTTCCTTCCTTTGGAAAATTCCACCCGCAGCAGCTCTGGGCAGACCCAGGGGCTGGTGCAGAGTCCCCCTTCCCAGGGACAAGTTGTCCCGGAGACTCCCGGGTCTGGGGAAACTGAGGCAGCGGGTGGCGCTCCCGGGCCTGCTCTGGGTTTTCTCTGTGACCTTGAAGCAGTCGTCGCCCCTCTCTGAGCCTCGGCTTCCTCATCTGTGAGGCGAAGGCGGGGTTCAGGGAGCCTCAGATTCCGGGCTCTGGTTGAAGGACACGTGGGCTCCACACCAGGCGGGAACAAGCCAGAAGCTGGAGCCAGGAAATCCCCCGGGAATTCCCCAGAGCAGC